GAAAGTCTTATCACGAATTAAAATATTCATTATTTTTGGAGAAAATGAATAGTCTAGAGCTAAAGAATATTGAATAGAAATAGAACAATATACATGATGTATACGTATACATACATCAAAGGATACAATTAATCTATCAAAAGGTAATTAAAAAAAAATGTGTTGTGCTGTTATGCCGCGGCATGAGAACGGCAGTGCGGCATAGCGGCTGAACGGCGGAGCGGTATGAGAACGGCAGAGAGGCATAGCGACAGAGCGGCATAGCGTCCGAGCAGCTGAACGGCAGAGTGGCCGGCCGAACGGCAAACATTTTGAAATGTTCCCTTAGCAAGATCTTTTAATGAGACAGTTAAAAATGTTTTTGTTAATTGTTGTATACTATTACATATAAATGCATTTCGTGTTTGTTTTATTAAACCTAAATTTCTATCACGTGCATATTGTTCTCGATGATGATTAACAAATTCATCAAATTGTGTTAATGTACCATTATTAAATATATAAAATAATTCTGTATATTGTGCACCACATAAACTTTTTATTGCTTGTTGAACTGTTCGACTTGTATATGTTGGTAGTTGATTATTTGATATTGAACCAGATATTAATTTAACTAGAACATATTTTTTATAAGCTTCTATAACAATAGCTGATGTTGCTGTAGCTGGTACAGTAATAACATTCTCAAAAAAATTTGCAGCACGATCAAATTGTTTTATACAAGCATAAATCATTCCACCATAATAATAAGCAAGTAAAAGATGTTTAACATCAAATTTTCCATTTTCACGATTAATATCAATTATATCAATATCAAGATAAGTTAATGCTGGTTCAAACCATTGACAAAGAAGACAAAGTTGATAGAGATCAGAATGTATAGAAAGTAATTGGCCAGGTTCACGACGAAGTAATTCAATAGCTCGATAAATAATTGGTATTCCAACTCGAGCTCGATTTTCTTTTCGAAGTCGTTCTGTAATAACATAACATATTTCACATAGATATTGAGGTAAATAATGAACTTGTTCAGCTGAACATGTTTGAATAAATGTATCAACTTGTGTAAAAAATAAATCAAAATCAGGTATATTTGGTGCTTTTGTAATTGCATGTAAACCAGCTAACATACACATTGAATGTTCAGGTAAAGTAAAAGTAGCAATAATTGAATCAATATGTTGAATATTTTTACTAAGATGATCAATATTTGGATTTGTTAATGTTTGTGCTAAATCACTAAATTTACCATCTATTGATAATTGTCGAATATTTCCAACAAATTGATCTAAGGATGTCATTGTTTCTGTTTTAATTTATCTCTTGGTAAGTTTTAATAAGCAACTTTTCTCAGCAGCATGTAGAGCACGACATTTCTCCTGTTCTTACTCATTTCACTTTTGCGTTCTGTCTTTTGCTTTCGTTCAATAAAGATATACGTGTCAACTACTGCATTTCGACTCGTTCTTCTTCCATATTCGTGCGTTTTTCCTTCTCAGTTAAGCACTCTCATTCTCTGATTACAACATCGCTCATGAATGACCTCTTCTTAGATAGTATGTGTAAGGACAGAGCAGATGTCGTGCGCCGCACATCCACGAGAAAGATTGCTTATTACAACTTACCAAGAGGTAGGTGATCAACTTTGATGAAATACATGTTGCGATGAAGAAATTATGCGGGTTGATGACAACACTAGCCTGCCAGAGCAACACTTTTTTAATAATATAAACAAAGAAAAGGAGAAATGTAACTTTCATCAAGTTGTTTCGATAGTGGATACCCACATCTATAGTCTTGTTCTTTCATACAAGAAGAATTATCTTGTATAATTACATATGAATCGGCAATTTTGTTGAGTGTAGGTGTGGGTGTGAGGTGGGTGTGGGTGTGGGTGGGTGTGGGTGGTGGGTATGGGGTGGGGTGGGTGTGGGTGGGTGTGGGTGGTGGGCGTGGACTTGGATGTGGGTGTATTTGAAGAAGAACCCAGATTCACACCCACACCTCACACCCACACCTACACCTACACCCACACCCACACCTCACACCCACACACCCACACCTACACCCACACCACACACCCACACCCACCCCACACCCACACACCCACACCCCACCCACACCCACCACACACCCACACCCACACACACCCACACCCCACACCCACACCCACCACACACCCACCCACACCCACACCCCCACACCCACACCCCAC